TAAGCTGGGCTGAACTTTGTGTGTTTTTATTTAAGTGATTGATGTCCGTAGAGATCCCTTTGATTAGGATTGGTTGGGATATTTTAATTGATTTCTGTCAAATGCAAGCAAAAAATGTATAACCCTGCTAAAAGAATAAAAAATGAGGAATTTGAGGGAGTTCAAAATAGGCAAGAGGAGAGTCAATACTATGAAAAGTTCGTACTTTTTGATCACAGGAAGAAATTATTCCTGTACTTATTGCAACCAATTTATTCCTAGTTTTATCCTCTTGAGGATCTGACCTGTTTGTGGTCGTGAGCATTGTGTCGGGGTTTTATTTTCTTTTGCCTTTTAGAAATCATTCTTGTCTGCGTGCACATTCTTGGACAGATTCTTCCCTAGTGTAATGCTGCTAATTCTTCTGACATTATGTCAGGAGTCTATTAGGTCAATTATAAAGTTGTAGGGCTCGATTCTCAGTTATTTTAAAGTGTTTTTCTGGCATTGGAAAGGAGTCATAAAATGAGCCTGAGTGTGAATTATACCCACTTCAGGCATAATAGAAATAATAGTTAAAGCTGAAATATTTCAACAGTGATCCCTGAGACAGGCTTTAAATGAAATTGGGTTTTGTGAAAACAGGAATAATTTAAGCTTTATAGTATATTAAGTATTATAAGCTGTATATTTCACCAAATTACTGGGTAGTACCTATATATTCAAAAGTGTATTCAAACACCTGGATTCCCTGCCTGATTCTGAAACCAGCCCTTGCTTTGGCTCTGGGCAACAAAAACTTCTGCCTCCATTTTTGTCTCAGTACAGAATCGCTTAGGGATTATAGGACTAGATACTTGTGCCCTACAGAAATATTCTAAAGCTGTTTTGTTAATGTTTATAAATGCACAGGGAGAAGATGTTGAAATTATTTGGAGAGGTTAAAAAAATCATTTAAACTTCAGGCCAGCGTTGCCACAAAGACAAAATTGTGGGCACCAACCATATATAAATGTTAGCTGGAAATCAGAGAGGACTCTAGTCAGCAGAGGATTAAATTCTGGAAGATTATCCTATAGAAATAATAGGCCCTGGAAATACATAGTTGTAAGATGGGGTTGAATCAACATAGCAATAGCAGTTTGTGACATGGTTGCATGCAGTGGAGGAGAGTAACATCCTTAAGACCCCTTATCCTGGTGTCCCTAATAGCTGTCAACCCTTTATAAAATGCTTGGAAGATGTAGACTTAGTAGCTTTACAGAGAGCATGATAAATAATGATTCCAGTGTTTAACTTCATCAAAAGAGTGTTCATATGTATTTGAACGAAAATTACTTTCTGCCCATCTTCTCAGTATAGGTGTTTTTGTCTGTAGCAATTACAATAGAAGGCTTATTTGGAATAGGTGTACAAAACTGATAACTTTTAACAGTGGACAATCAAATTTCCCTCTTAAAGGCATCTGCATGCTTTTCAGTTAGTGCAAACTGTCTTTGCATGTCACTAGGTTGTCTCTAACTTCCTGAGTCTTCAGTCCCCAGCTTTGCTTTGTATGCTTGGGTGGACTTGTAACAAGGCACCAACCTTCCTTAATGGTCAAACACACATTTCATTATTTTCATAGTATTTCCTAATTAAAGAAGAAGAAAAACCTTGGAAATGCCTGCTGCTAAAAGTCTGGTTGTATATATGCAGTTGAACAGCAACCAGAATGATGGAATTTTGTGTTTGCTGCAGAATGGAAATCTAATTTTAATTTATGGAGGAGGGGGTGATTTGACTTGACCAGATGCTAGACATGCAACCTGTGAAACTTCTGTCTTCCTAAATTCATAGGCAAACAGGCAAAAGGGATGGTTTGAACAGTTTCTGAAATGAGACGTTAATATTCAGTTTTAATGAATAAGTCTTCATTTCACAACTTAAAAAGACTCTGATATTTTATTTTTAAACATAAGCTGAGTCCTGCCTCTATGAAGATTTGTGCCTTAGTTTTGTTAAATTCAGTTTTGTTATTTTAGAGGACAAGTTAAATATGAACCCCAAAGGTTTAAAAATAACAACAAAAAATAAAAGAGCTCTACATTAATTTTTACTGTTAAATTTCATTATTTTTCTTCCTTGACACATGCCTGGGGTTGGTATATTTGTAAAATAGCTAGCTAGTATGATTTTGCTATATCCAGCAATGTGATGAATTAGCTACAGTAGTCTTTTTTATCTAGTAAATTGTTCTGCAAGATTTCCTCCCTCCCTTCCTCAGAACGGTGTTTTTGGAACTCAGACACTTTGGTTTAAGTTTATGATAATTTTGTGTCCTTCACAATCAGTAATTCACTGCTAGTGCCTTCAGTAGTTTCACAGGTCTCTTTGACTTGCAGAAGTCCCTAAGAAAAGAAGAAGCAATATTTTTAGAGTAGTTGTAACAAAACTATCAGTCCTAGTCACACTGAATGTTCCTGCTCTCCTCATTTTCAAAATTATTATCTTACACATTCACAGCAAACAAAGCAGAGGGTTAATTTCTTACATCCAAAAATATGTATATTATTGTTTTTTGTTGTTAAACCCAATGTATGCGGGTGGGCCATGATACCCACAGGGAAGAACTGCTGAAATCCAGCAGTGCAGGGATGGGCACAGTGCTTAGAGCAGGGTCGACACCTTGCTCTTTCTTCTGTACAGGGGTTAATATTTTACTGTTGTCACTAAACAAAGAGGGCTCTGTTTGGGCTGAGTGTATAAATCAGCGTGAGCCCCACGAGAGGATGTACCTGCGGTCTGTCGTATCTGCTTTGGGCAAGGAGCACATCCTCATTTGCTAGTGGACATCTGGTCTCATCGCTGCCAACTGGGGAATACTGGTGGCTAGGGTGGGAAGGATGGGTAGGCTCTCTTCACCTTATTGATGTGGAGGCTTAAACCTACTCTTTAGGATGTGACCTTTATACCTGTACTAAAAAGAGAGCGGGGAACTAGATTTGATAATCTGGCAAGTGTGCTTCAGGGTGAAATCTTGTAAGCAGCTCAGTTGCTGTGGAGACTCAATTTGGGATATTATTTCATAATTTTGACGGAAGAAACCTCTGACTTATTTGGCTTTTAGGACACATGTTGAAACTCACCCCTTTAGGGAAGTTCTTGCAGAAACAAGATACAAGGAGAGTTCGTCTGTGTTAAACAGCGAAGAGGATTGTTTGTCCCCAAGTTTTATGCTGATTTATTTGTGACTGCTTGCAGCAGAATAGGTGGACTCACTGTTTCGACTGTGCTGTGAACAGGAGAACAACACACTCAGTTGATAATGTTTTAAATCACAATGAATAATAGTGCTCTTTGTGGAAAGACTGTGGAAAGGTATTAACAGAGAACAGTGCAGAAATCATCTGAAACCATCTTTGGCCATAGTTTTCACTACATGTATTTCTTAAACTATTTTTCTGCTTACACTTTTTATTAAGCATACTGGTTGCCTTAGGCCCCTTACATGACTTAAAAAAAAAAAAAAGACAAAGCTTCAGTCTTGTCTTCTGGGATCCATATGAAATGTACATTTCTGATTAAAAAGTGTCAGTCGCTGCTGAGGCTGGAAATGGTCTGTTCTGCTTTGAGGAAGAGAGAGGGAGATCCGTAATAGTTGCTCAGGCTGTGGTGTTTCTGAGAATCAGCTGTTTTCTCTTTATGCTGCAAAGATTAAACAAAGAATGTTAAACATTTCCCAATTTAGCATTTATAATGGAAAGCGGCTGTAGGGCCACAGCTCGCTGCTGCAAGGGCAGGCGTTCATATTAGGAGTCACTTAAAAAGGCTTTTATTTTCTTTGAAGGCCTATCCTTTCCTTTCCCAGACTGGATGCTGTGCTTTGCAGTCAGGTGGAGGCAGCTTTAAGTTTGTACTTTCATTTAAGTAGGAGCTAATATACTTTTGGAAATGAAAGTTAAAGCAGCTCAGCCATCTGCAAAGTGAAGGAGGCAGTGGGTTTCTTTACCTTTTCAAATCTCTACGGTTCTATTTCACACCAACAGGCAACCAAAAATTACCTTCCTTAGCTCCTATTAGTAATAATATGTAGTATTAATGATCTAATGTCTTAGCTTCAACTCTTCATCTCGCTTTCTAAAAGATACCTGTTGGCTGTGTTCAGTCGTCTTTATACTTGCATCCAGCTCAGGAGCTTTGAAGCAAAAAGTTTTAGTCTCGAGTGCAGCAGAACCACATTTGTTTGACCTACTGACAGCACAGCTTTTTCTATAGCTTTTCATTAGTGATTACGTGGAGCTCTGTGACTTTCTGTTCCTCGTAGTGAAGGCAAAGAATGCTTAAGAGTGACTGGAAAATGAAAAAAAAAAAAAAAAAGCAGGGGGGGCAGCATTTTGATGTCCTAGTGTTAGACACGCTTTTACTGTGGTTGTTTAGCAGCCTTTCTTATGTTGGAGTTTTACTTGAAGAGTCCATAGTGGAAACAAATACGTTGTTCAAATTTTCTTGGTTGAAGCTGAGAGGAGTTTCAGTTTTATGCAAATACATATTTTATTTCCTGTCAGAGTGAAATAAGTATTAATACAGTTAGTTTCTTAACAGATCAGCTAAAAATGTCCTTTGCCTGCCTCTCCACTGGCTAGTTTTCAGAAATTCAGTAGTTCTATGTCATCACATGGGGACAAGTCTAAACATCTTATATAATTAAAACATTTTCGGGGGGAAAAAAAAAAAAAAATCCGGTTTCTTGTATAAAATGTAAGCTCTGTAAAGAAATCAGCTATCCATTTTCTGCCTTCTCCAGCCTGCCTGCAAGTAGGTTTTGTCTAAACAAAATAGCCTTGCACTCAGAGCTCACAAACTTTTGTGTATTACTTAGATACCTAATTTTATTGGCCTCCTACAGTAGCTTAAATGTTTGTAAATGTTTGCCCACCTTTTTGTTTCTTAAGTGAAGCTTTTTTTACATTTTTTTTTAAATGAGTCAAAGTTTGATTTTAAAAAATATTTCAATCTTCTTGTGATTACATTTCTTACAGAATGTTGGAATTTTTGGACTGTGCATCTGTTTAGGCACGTGGAGAAAGACAAGACTGAGATCATGTAAGTCATGAAACTGAGGGTGAATAATCCATACTTTGTTCTCTCACCATTTTTATAATTTATATCCAGATGCAAGTAATAAACCAAAAAGGAAAAAAAAAATCGAGTTAGATTTTATTTTTAAAGTGATTAATGAAAAGAAAAGTTCAAATGAGGCCACAAATCCTGGTGGTGCACAATGGGTTGATTTATTTTGTAAATAGACCATGGATAATTAACCATAAAACAAAACTTTTTTTTTTTTTTTTTTTTTTTTTTTTTTTAATGACACTGGTTTCTTTTAGTTGCTGTGAGTTGCACAGAGGGATAACGACTTATTCACAACTGGTTGCAACTGGTTACGGCCAAGAAAGGAAAAATCCCCAAGCAGCTAGAGGAAAAAGGCAGTTAAACCCCCGCTACACTTGCAGTTTGATAGTAAGGCATTTACTAATGGCTACAGAAGGTGCAAAGCTACCTTTAAACGATAACAGTAGAAGAGTAGATATGTCCATACTCTGGTGATGCTTGCTATGTTATCCCATGCTTTGGCTTAGAACCCATAAGCAAAACAGTCCCTGCAGCTGGCCTTGTAGTTCACAATTTTGTATTGACTTCTAAATAGCATTAGTTTATGCTGTGTTACAAGCTTCCATGATGCCTGTCTCTTACTACTCTGGCACTGGGGGAAGAGTCCTCTGGGTAGTCAAAATAGTCTCACTTGCTGCCAAGTCCTCTTGTGAGCCAGAGAGTGATGGTATTTTTTCAGATATGTGATATGAGAAAACTGCCTGCCCGACGTCCCCCAAATTTGTCTCTTCATATTCCACAGTCATCTGTGGAAGGGATCTCTGATGCCCAAGAAGGAGAAGGTCCAATTTGTTGTGAAAGTACATTCACTACTAATTAAAACTACCAGCTGGGATTACAGCCCTGGAGACTGTAAATAAACTAGAGCATGAGATGTTCAGATGACAATATGGCCACTTTTGTGGTGGTTTGTATTAGTTGCCTGTCCTCCGATTTGCTCATCTCATGCCAGCTTATTAGAGTGAAGAGAGGGTTTATGTGGGTAAGAGTCAAGATGCAAGAGGTTCGATTTGCCACCCAGACACTGTCGATATGGACACCTTAGCTTGCTCTCACATGCCACAATGTGCCTTAGAATATTTTTGTCCATATATATTTAAGGTCTGCAGTTCAGACAGAGGTAAAATCTGATCATGCTGTGTTCGTGTGAGAGTTGGCTGTTGGCGCAGCTGTTCTGTGTCTCGCAGACAGTGACTCGAAGGTACTTGCAGAAAGCCCCCCTTGTTCCAATTGACAGCCTGGGCAGGCAAAGGTATGGGAAAAAATACTTAAACCCAGTACTGTTTTACATGTTTTGAATCAGTTTATCACAACAGTGTTGTAGACTGATGTTTGCAAGGGTTCTCCGTCCTAAATTGATTGGTACACTTGTGGTTTCTTCTGCAAAATGAAGTATGTATTTGGCAGCAATGTACTGCAGAGGCTGAGGAGAAGATCGTTTGTGTCAGACTGTCACCTGCTATCTGCATGAGCAAAGTAGATAACCAGGTATAAGGGCTGTGTGTTTTTAGTCTAGACCCCAGTTGCAAGACAGGGCCTTAGCACAACACTTTAAACCTAACTAGAGAACTGCTGAATTCCCACTGTGTTACTGACACTAGTAACTGCAACACACGGACTGCCACTTATAATCTTTTTTTTTTTTTTAGGCCAAAGAGTCAAGTTAAAATAGCGCTTAGTTTGAGCAAGAGTCTTCTGTTGTGGGTGGGAGTCATGCTGGGGGCCACATTAGCATTGTACTTTCAAATGACATTGCAGGGAAGACAAGATCCCAAAAGTAAGTTAACTCTGCAAGGCTTGGTACAGTTGTGGCTTCCCTCCGAGTCCTGTTGGAAGGGAAGCCAGCTAGGGTCCACTGTGGTAGTGCTAACTGGATGCATCTGTCCTGTGGGGCTTCCCTTGAAACTGCTCTTTGTCAGGCTTTTGCTTCTGGAAAATGTGGCAACGTATGGAGTCGGCTACGTACTGTTTATAAGTCAGAACTTGATTTTATTGACTAACTGAATCCTTGTATCTTGTGACAAACTTTTTCTGTGCTCTGCATCATGCCAAAGAGACAGGGGAGTGGTGTTGGCATATCTTTGTATGAATAGGTCTGTCATTAAATATTTGAAATAGAAACATCTGAAATAGATCTTGCCTGAAAAGAACAATGGTGCAACTAGAGAAAGCCAGTTTTCTCCAAATTAGCTTTTAGAGGACGGAGCTTTAAGCAAACAGGGGAAAAAAAAAAACAAAACAACCAAACAAACAAAAAAACCACCAACCCAAAAAAACCAACAAAACAGAAAACAACCAAAAACCAGAGACCAGGTATTAGTGATTAAAAACAACAAACCCTGGGAGGCATGAAGGGAGATGCAAGGAACAGTAAGAGAGGAGAGAAGAGGGGAGGGATGCTTAGCAGAGGGAGGGTTTTTTTCATTTGTTTTAATAACTAAGAGCAGCTAAGGGAGAGGGAAGCTGGTGGTAGACTACTGAGAGTCCCTCACTGGGAAGAGGCACTGTGTTTAGGAAACACAAACATTTCACCTAATGTGCATCTGAGCCTGAGGATCATTCACTGCTAGCGCTGAGGATGTTGAGGCATTTGGGTATTTTCTGTTTCCACCGAATCTTTATTTTCTGAAGAGTGCAGGAGTCAGTCGTCTTCCTCGGGCAGTTAGGCTCTGAAATCTTAGTGCTAGGAAGGAGTTGGACAGCCTTAGCTGAAGCCACACACAAGATGAAGGAGAGAGCATTCAACTCCTTTCAGATCATGGAAGGTGTCAGTACATGGGCCCAGTATGCAGAACAAAAATTTAACACTCTGCTGGTGTGCAGCAGGAAAAGCTGTTACACATAATTGTTTAGGCTTTTGAACAAACCTTTTGATTTCTCTCGTATGATAATAAACTATTTGTAAAGATATGCAATCCAAACTTCTTTTATATTAGCCACACTATCTCTTCCCAAATACCTCTCCCCAAATCTTAAAAGAAACCCACAGGTGAGGTAATACCAGCAGTTCTCCCTGAGACTTTCCCCAACCTTGCTTGGTGAAGTGTGGCATCCAGCGCAGTAGGTAGGCTCAAGTTCCAGTTAGAAAGTGCTTTTGTGGGGGACTAAGCAGTACAGCTGTTTGAATCCTTGGATTTCTGCTCCAAGCACTACGTTCAGAAATTCACTTTATAAGAAACAAAAATTATTTGATTCTTACTAATATTCTGTCCGGGTTACAAAAAACCCTTCACCGAATGACATGGGAGACAACAACTTCTCATAAAGCATCTCAGTGCTGAAATAGCCAGGGGATGCCAGTCACTGGGTGCTGTCATGGTTAAAGGCTTAGCTGTGCTTCAGCACTCCTTCAGGTCTTCCGAAGTGAATAGTTTCGTATGTTGGCACTCTTGCTGCTACCTGATCTAGGTGAAATCCTTGAATTCTTCCTGGTGTAAGCCAGGGTTTGTCTCACATCTTCAGTCAAGTTTCAGGTGACTTCATGGTATTTTGCATTTGATTCATTCTGAAATGTATGAGCAGTGATCAAGAGCCTTCTTAGCAGCTGTGGCAAATGGTTAAAGAAAAAGGAATTCTTCGATGTTAAATGCCTTATTAATTTCAACTGCTCTTACATTACCAGTTAAGTTTAAGGTTACAGGGACAGAGCAGAAACAACTAGCATTCCCCTCACTTCTCCCTCCAGATTCTTCTGTAGGACTCTCTGTGATTTTCAGTCTGCAGCTTTATCCTGCTCAGAACTGGTTTTGATACTTTCCTAAATGGCAATAGTAATTAAAGAGTACTTGACCCAGCAAGATGTGCCTTGGTTGTTACATAAATGACTGTCTGAAAAAGCCTCTTACCTTTCATACATTGGTAAGCTCTAATGAACCAGCTCCAATGAAGCTCCTTGGACAAGAACAACATACCAGCTGGATTATTAATAATAATTAGATTGTCACTGATCTATTGATAGCATTGCAGAGGTATTACAAGTTTCTAAGGCTCACTAAAGAGTACTGAAGGTCAGGACTAGAAGCACTAAAAAAATAGCTAGTGGTATTCTCTTCTTGTGGAAGTACTGGTTCATTACAGAAAAAAAAAAAAAAAAAAAAAAAAAAAAAAAAAAAAAATACTTATTTTCATTATTCATATTTCCAGATAAAGCTTTTCAGCATTTGTAAAACAGAAATGCTTTTGTTTCAAACTTTTCTTTCAAAAATGTAAGCTATGTTCTAATATAAAATTTAAATCAAAACTGAAAGTAACAATCAAAACAAAATTATTTTGTCAAAACAAAACATTCAATTGATTGAAATTATTTATTAATTTTTGGTTCATGGGCAACTTTGCAATTCAGTGTTTAATTCAACTGTGAAACTAAAGCAAATTTCAAAGTCTGTAGCAATCCTGTAGAGCAGGAATGTTGGGTTGTGTTTGAGTTCTTCTAGGTGGCGCTTAGGGGAGACAGAATTCTACTAAATCTGTTGTAAAAAAATCTATTAAATCTGTCATATTCTAGTAAATCAATAAAAATTTTTAAATGTGTGAGGACCCTTAGACTATACTGAGGTTTTCTTGTTATATTGGGACTTTCTATCTCTGTAACAGTTAATCAGAATCTGTCTCTGCAACTATATGTAGCTCATCCCTGGAAATATATTCTGGGTTTCTGCTCAGCAAATTGGGAAGCTTTTAATACCATTTCAGCTCCACTGGTTTCCTTCTCTGTGGGCTGGTTATGGACCAAACCTTTCAAATCCTGTGTGCCTATCTTGGTGCAATTTCTTGCAAAGCAATCAAACAGTTGAATATAATGATAGTGTAAAGCCTATACAGTTAATATTCATGTGTTCAATTCCTTTTGTTGCTTCTTGGATTTGATTTACAAGGGACCTTCCATTAGCAGGGACCTTTCAAGTTATTGCTTTGAGTCTTTTCTTAACCCG